TCGGGGTAAGGTATGGTATAATTATATTAATATAAACTGAACCATACCTTCCCCGATACTAAACCTAAGCTTCGCAAACCTGACTTAAATTCGATTAAATATTAATATAAATTATGAAACATTGTGGAGCTACCCACTTGTACAAAGGGCTCCACTTTGTTTGTGTATGTCTGGACTACTGGCTCTACTTCTACGTCTACACCAACGCACACACACACATAAATACCTTCTGTTATTAATCCAATGCCAATAGCCTTGTCTTTTAATCTGGCCATTAGATAGTCGACCATTTCAAAATGATTCTGCTGTTTTCTATTCTTCTCCCTGGCCTCCGTGAAAGCGTCGTTAATGATGGCGATGAAAATGTTGATCATAATTACTGTCTGTGACATAGTGAAGACGAACAAGTAAATATTCCAAGTTCCAGGGGGTATGTCGAAATTACCCGGTTTCGGAAACTTCCCCAACATAATAGTAAACAAGTAACGCAATGCATCATACACTGTTTTGAAATTCCCGATACTTTTGTGGAACAGGAGATAACCAGCGTGGGTGTAAGCGCCAACATATACGACGAGGACGAAGAAGAAGCTAGCCAAGGCTGGCCCTGCTGCTTGTAACGTCATAGTAAGAAGCATAATACGGCGGTTGAATCTTAGCAGCTTTAGATATCGGACGATTGACAGGAACACTGCCACAGAGAGAAGGTGTACTAGTGCATCGCTGAGCATGGCCACTTCTTGCATGTTACCACCAACAACTATGTAAGAGAATAAATAATTAATTAATCACTGGTATCCAAGATATCATGATTGTCCACAAATACAAGCCGATAATATTTTAAATACTAAAATATATGAATGTATTTGAGAGTATCGTTACATCTGACATAATTAATATATTTAAACAAGAAGCCAAAGTTTCTAAAGTCATATATCATTTATTGTTCTCAGGATGTTCAACGTTTAGTTTGCAGTATGTCTTTAAAAACAGTCACGTCGAACAATATTATGACAAGAGGTCACTCTATATTTTCCAAAATATAAGCACATTTATTTAAACATCAATTGACAAAATAGTATGTGAATATGAGTTATTTTTTCATTTCAAATATGGCGGTTGATCTTATTCTCTAGGCTAGTCATGTTACCTAAAACACCTCAAATATGACGTTGCAAATTGTCTTTTATTGCCATGACAACTGTAAAAGTATTTTATTGATGAAAACAATGCCTTTACGAAACCTTCAATTCAAAATGCTTCAATCCAGCTTGTCCTATATAGTCCTATATTTTGACATCAATACATTTTAGCTTTCATTTAAGTGTACTAAATGGACATTCACTTTAATCTGAATACCATATTACAATGGGGCAATTTATACTACGTTGCTTCAACCGGAAATCAGATTAGTATCGTAGGTAACTGTTTATACCTTTCAAAGTCGCATGATAAAATGTATTATTATTATTATTATTATTATTATTATTATTACGATTTGATTTACCTTTAAGGGTTTCTTTAAGAATTGCAGGCGCTGTCACTTGGTATGAGATAGCTAAAGCCAACGATGACAACGTTACGAGCAACAACAAGAGATCGAAATAGTTCCAGGCAAACCGGATAAAATAGTGTCTCTGTAGTCGAATACGTTTAACAATCGAATATGTCATGAAGGCCGCGAAGAATCCATACATAATCCAACACAAGAACACGGTGCTAGCATACTTGTCATATATGGTATCTTTATCGAAAATACTCTTCAGCAGACGGAACACCTTATGTGTAGCACGGCATTCAGTACTGCCGATATTCAGAAACTCAATGGCATATGTATTGCTGGAGTACAGGTCAGCGTCGGGAGAATACAGATCAAATTCTAGTAGAATGATGCGTGTGTAAAGATCAACCCAAGAATTGTTGGCTAATCGGCTCAGTGTCTCCAATAAGTTGCTCTTGTTACCTTCAAGGAAAGTAGTGTATCCACCAAGACTGTACACACCATGATTTCCATAATAATCATAACCAACTAAATCCTCAGCGCCACGATAATGCCAGGCGCTGGTGATGTTATTACTTTCCCCCACTGAAAGGTTATTATACGGTCGCCATCCGATATCGTAATTTTCAGTTTCATAAACGCCATGAAATTCGCATTCTGGAACAATACCTTCGATCAGGCACTGTCCTGAAATTACAATATATATCTGAATGTATCAAATAACGACAGATGCATGTTTTTTTTTATATATTTTTTTATTACTTTAAATGCATGACAGATGCATGTTTTCTATTATGTCAATGTTTTTCTATGAACAATGCGCTATATTAACTATTAGGATAGAGAAACGCACCAGTTCGGACACCATAATACAATCCAGCTATTTTTTAGAAAGACAAAATTACTCGTTTCTGAGTGATTTTGAAACGAAAATTACCTTTTTTGTTTCTGTGTTGCCGTAGCCGTGGGACCCCGACCCTGTATGTCATTCTATCGCTTGTAACAATCTCAGTCTCATTCTCCTCAAGATCGGGATATAGATTTGGCACAAGATTGTTGTCCATCCATTCCCAAAAATGAGCTGGGGTTCGAATCTACGAAAGACAGTAACAATCAAAATAATATTATCATTGCTTGTCCATACGTATCTTCTTTTAAATCATTGAAAGCTCTACCGATGTTCAACGAAAACAAGGTAATACTGCTTACCGAAGAGAAACTGTTGGACTGCTGATAAATGTTTTGCAGGTGTATATTAAACTGATAAGTCAAGGGATCTCGTACATACTTGCAAATTACCAACGTAACACAAACGAACATTGAATATACAATTATCCCATACAGTAAAGCCATCATCTTTTTTTCTTTAACCCTTCTTTCTCTTATATTTTCCAGAGCGCTCCCTTTAAGTGGTCCTTCTGACACAGTGTCGCCCATCGATGAATACTCTGTTAATAAAACGTTAACATGTAAAATAATCGAAAATAGAAAATACACCATGTTAGAAAGCGTTTTGTAAAACAAAGGGACGCAAAACATTGATATTGTTTTTGCCTGTGGCAGTCCATCAATGCCTATATAATTTATTAGAGATCTTTTAAACATTTTTTTTTTATTTGGTGCAGCTCCTAATTCACATAGTGAGCTGTTACAAAAGGCAATAAATAAATAAATAAATAAATAAATAAATAGATAGATAGATAGATAGATAGATAGATAGATAGATAGATAGATAGATAGATAGATAGATAGATAGATAGATAGATAGATAGATAGATAGATAGATAGATAGATAGATAGATAGATAGATAGATAGATAGATAGATAGATAGATAGATAGATAGATAGATAGATAGATAGATAGATAGATAGATAGATAGATAGATAGATAGATAGATAGATAGATAGATAGATAGATAGATAGATAGATAGATAGATAGATAGATAGATAGATAGATAGATAGATAGATAGATAGATAGATAGATAGATAGATAGA